GCAGGGTCCTCCTGGACCCCCAGGTCTCCAAGGACCAGTTGGTGCCCCTGGAATTGCTGTAAGTATTCCACTTTGTTCAGCAAATTAAAATCCTTACAGGTCCCTGATTAAATTTATGAACTGTCACATAACCAGTCGATTTTGTGTGGTGATAAGTTTTGTTTGTATGCTTAACATTGAATCAAATTTAAATTATCTAATATAGCTAACCAAGCTGATATTTAGAAACAAAAACTTGACTGGAAAATAGATAGTAACCCATGGAGGAGTACTTAACATTTCATAAATTCTGAACATTATTTTTTCTTATCAGACAGCTTTTACTTCACTTGGTATATATGATCAAATTCAAATCAGTCCTACTCCACAAACAGAGAATGTAAGCAAAACAAACAATGGTATTTTTGCAGCAGACAATGGGAATTCAGTCTGCTTTTTATTTGGTTATTCTCAGATAGATCAGCTTTGATTATATTAGAAATGGCCATATTTTAATAATGACTTGTATCATAATGATTGTTTTCAGTTTGTGATAATTTTCCTTGCTCTTCTCTAGGGAGGTGACGGTGAACCAGGTCCCAGAGGACAGCAGGGAATGTTTGGACAAAAAGGTGATGAGGGTGCAAGAGGTTTCCCTGGACCTCCTGGTCCCATCGGTCTTCAGGTGAGACCCCCTCTTTCTGCATTGTTGACTTTGTTGCTTTCGCTCACTTCTCAACTCTAGCTTTCCTGGTGGATGCAAAACAAAGTATCTTTCATTTTTTCTGTGTTAAGAACTTGGGTACAATGTTTAACCATAATGATTATTCTACCTAAAGGTAAATCTGAACTGAAAATGTTTTTTTTTTTATCAAGTATTACTAATTTTTCTGAAGACGTATCAGCCCTGGTTCCTGTTTCTGGAGTATATTTAGCCACGCCTTAGGTATTACACCTCTTTTCTTCATTCTCGTTTTGTTTGTAGAATGATCTACCGCCTTCTTCGTCCCTGATACTTAAGATGTTAGAAGGGTTCTGTCACAGGTCTCATAATGGGAAGAGTTAGTACTTCACATGGCTAACAAAAATTAAAAGCGTTTTGCGAAATTTCAACTTGCCAATAGCAACTGCCAACAGCAAGTGTTAACAATGTAGGCAAAACAAACAAATAATAGTAAATTGATCATCTAAGATAATAATAATATTTTAAAGGTATAATTTGTATTTGATGAAGCATGCTCAGGAGAGAAAATATTAAATTGTAAAATACTACAGGCTAAGAAATTTTTATTTAAATATGTCTTAAAATTGAACTCTTAGGCAAAACACTATATAGTAGACAGCTTCTATTTTGGGTTCTTTTTCCACTTTCCACTTCATGTTCACTGCATCCTACAAACTTTGGAAACATCTGGCTTTCTTCTTCCGCTTGCTTACTCTATACCTACCTAGTGATCCTCAAAGATTATAACATTGTGTTAAATGATGTTTACGTACCATGTGGATATAATTTACACCATAAATTAATTCATCTGGTTTACTCAACGTAAAAATTTGTGAAGTTGTGGAAAAATATATCAAGTGGAATTTATAAGCTTATTTGTTATCTTTATTTTCAAAAATAAAATGACAAAAGTGCTGTTTTTTGATATTCAATAACTTATTATGTACATAATTGTTCAAATTACATTGTAAAAACAATTTTATGAATTATGATGATAATAAAATACTCAATGGATGTTTATCAGTGAACATGATATTCTAATTTTCTGCTTTTATTGTAATGCCCAAATAACTCTCTTTAAACTTGGAATGTGCAAAAACTTCACTTTCATTTTTGTTATATTTAACTTTTTTATATTGTTTAGACAATTATAAATTAGCAATTATGAGTACTCTAAATCAATATGTGTGATAAGCACATATATTTGAAAACAGCAACAAAGCATTAAAATTAGATTGCCAATGGATACCTTAGTATTCATTTTGTGTATTTCATTTAACTGATTGCTCTGAATCCTATGAGATTGTAATTTAGGAATTTAATTGTCATAATTAAAGATGGTACCATGTAGCTTATATTTATAAAATATTCAATAAAAAATTATCTTCATTTCCACAAAGTAAAAAATGTACTGTTTGATGAGGGTGACTCAAGAAATCAGTTCATTTTTT